ATTTAAACCATAATTATGATTAATTTGATTCACTATCATATAGAATTTACAATATCAAATTTCATATGACATGAATTCATACTTGCTTGATATTTTACCTTAAATATCTGTCAAAGAATCCTCAACTTCAAAATCATACTTTGAAATAAATAACCCGTTGCATTTTCAATCATAAATGTCAGGAAAACGTCCATCTTTAGAGACGAAATTCCAGACAGGTAAAATGTTTTCAACTGACCAATGAACTACAATGGCCGTCAGGAATTCCTCCATACATTTCTTTGTGACAGCTACACAAAGGAATAAAAGAGGTAAGTCATGGTCAACACAGACTTGTTATTCGATTTCAAATCAGCTAAATTTGGATTTAGAGTAAGACGAAGTGGAAAACAGAATCAAAGAATAGAAACGAGGAAATAGTTGTCTGAATACGGAACACGGTCAGCTATCAATCAGGAATTAAATCAATTATCCAGACCGGATTTAGCCGCGAAAATCTGGCGTTTTTAAAAGTAATCCTCATTTAACGGGTAGGTAACGAAAGGGACCGTTTTGTAGCCATGAAAGGATTTACGGGGGGGGGGGGGGACTTGACTTTGTCGCAGCTGTGATTTCGTTTGATTTTCTTTCCTTTTCAAGAACTGCCATCGGCCATGTTTAGATGACCAGAGTGAAAAGGGAAAGGATTTCTTTTCTTTTTTTTCTGTTGACATCATGAAAAAGACCTGAAGAGGGATTTTGGATATGCAGGTCAATGGCAAAGGTCATTTGATACCAAGAAGATGATGGGGAAATGAAAAGAAGGGGGAGAGTTGCGAAGGATTGGAGAGAAGAGTGTTTTTTAGAAGCTGTTCGTATTTGGGTACCACCCCCCCCCCCTCCCCGCCATCCCCGCTGTTTGTTGGTTTGTGGGTACGCCAGTCAGAGAAGACCAGGAAGAAGTTAGGGTGGGATAAGCATAATACAGTGGCGTAGCCTAGATCTGTTCATTGAGGGGGCACTTCTATCATTCTAGGCAGAGCCATCATTACACATAGTTTGACCAACCCGGTTCGAGTTGGACACATTATCCCGACTACTGCTCTGTAAGCCAACACAAAACAAAAGAATATACGCCGTGTTGTGACCCAGTGAAACCAAGTTGGCCAAACTCTGTGTATGGATGGCTTTGATTCTAGGTCGCCGGTCGACGAGATTGATGAAAATGCTAATTTAAAAAAAAGGAATCAAGGGGAGGGGGTGTATGGGTGGGAGTATTATGATCTTCCTCCCTATTCCTCCTCCCCCCCCCTTACCTCTCTCTTTTTTCTCTCTCTCTCTCTCTCTCTGTCTCCCTATCTCCCTTTTCACCATTTATTTTGAGGGCACGTGCCCCACGAGACCTCCTGCTTCGCTACGCCAGTGAATGAAGGGGTGCATGCCTTCATTTCTCGGTTTCTCCATATTTCGGCACTTCGTTACAGTATCGGCGTCAGCAAGAGACTTTCTTTACGGTCATCGAGTTTACAATTCTCCTCAGTTAATGCAAGTCGTGCATGAAGAATAGAAAAATGTAAATAACCAAGGGATATGGAACGACCACAATGTTGTTTTTCCCCCAAATCCACGTGGAACCTAAATAGTCCGAACATGCATGGCCCCTATTAAGGGGCATTTATCGAGGGGTTCATAAAGAAACGGGTCAATTCCGAGTAAAAATTATATTTATTTCCCCCATACACACTACACACTGTATGCTGCTTTATTAAAGTCTCACATGGAACAGTTACATTTTTAACGGTATGGAGCCAAAAATAATTTCGCTTTATTGTCGTAATACTGCTGAATTATCCCCCATCTTATGGTACTATTGATAAATCTTTAAACGACATGCATTATACATGCTTTGTTTCTTATCTTCTGTCTTTGTTTATTTTAGTGAGCGATCAATCTGTATTACAGTCGCTTCTATCAGTGGCGTAATGAGCAAAACACTTTTTGAGGGCAGAAAAAAACAAGTATAATTTACACAAAAGTGAGAAGACAAAAAAAACGGAAAATCACTGGCATTTCTTTATAGCAACATTTGTAAATCAATTGTATCGAATTAAAAATAAACCACGTTTGAATTATTTTGTTGGGGGCAACTCCCCCTACCCCCCCCCCCCCCCCCTCTCTATCAGTACGCCAGTGGCATCTATATTTCAATCCTAACTACGTCAAAGACTGCTAACTGAGGATCATTATACAACTGTCAACACATTAGAGATATAGGATCCTTCTCAACAGAAACAAAAATGTTTCAATGCCCTTTTGGCAGAATCTTTTATGACGATTTGTGTTATTCTTCTTCCTCTTCTGTAGAAGTACATGCACCATATTGTCGGTCTATTTTCGTACAGCTTGTTTAATAACTGGTTCTGTTTGGACACAAAGTCCTCGCATGCCAAAACTTCCAGTTGCCCGTGTAATATTTAATATCCGAGCAATGTCGTTAAAACTTACATTCCATAAATGACAAGTATACTTTAATATGATTTATAGCCCGTGTCTGGCACTGTCCATTTTGTCTTTAAAATCCTTGGACCGGATTTCCCTCTCATATCAAGTTCGGCATTAAAGGGGAAGTCCACACTGATATTAAGTTTAATAGATGCAGAAATACGAGAAGAATGAAGAATAGGGTAATGAAAGTTTGAGCAAATTCCGATTAAAAATAAGAAAATTATGATTTTGGGAAGTTGAGATCAATTAAACACAAGTTGGCAAGTCTGTGACGTATCTTGCGAGCTCCCCTCCCATTCGCTCTGTTTACTAAAAAAAAGCAAATTCAAAACTTGTTAGTACTTTGTAGCCCAACGAAATCAAGGTAAGGTGTTCAGTAAAGAAAAAAGGTGCATCAAATCTATCTTTCGATTGCATTCTTTTCTCACATAAGTATGACCCGTTGCTTATTATGAAGAAGAGCGTTGATAAATTCCATTTGTTTCATATGCATCACAGAAAATCGTATGTTATTGTCAACTTTTCATGGGAAATATGTAGCTCATTGACATAATTTGTCTCGTTTCGGAATTTGTCAGTAATGCTGAATGATGAGGCATTCCAAAGGTATTAGTTTGTAATGAATGAAAAACATGTTTTATGATAAACATACATTTTCGGTCCTTCGCACAAAGTGGTATAGAATGCGATGTGGAACGCGCACAATTGAAAAGCGGTCATGTTTTATGTGAAATTTACAATACATGAAATGTTAGACTTTGTACATGTACGTTCCACTCATTCTATATTTTGCAGTTTATATCAACATAATAACTCTTTTTGAGAGTTTGAGTCAATTTTGTCATTTCTAAAGGTAGGAGTATGATAGAATGCCGTATCTGAATTTTGTATTTTTTAAAAATTTTCGATACTGTATGGATTATCTGTGTTTAGGATCTGGGAAAAAAATATTAAAAATTACGAAGATAATAATTATTATGTTAAAAATACCATGGTATAGATTCCAACCAAAGCGCTACAACTTTAAATACAATAATGTTCATGTTCAAATAACTATATTAAGAAGGAAAAAAATGTACCAATAAATGCATATTTGGGTGATGACCCTTCAAACATTTAAGGATGCAAACGACTGTTACACGTTCTGTTTCTATCCTGTTTTTTGTTAGAGAAAATATAAGTTAATCCGTGATGAAATATATGCTAGGTCCGAATTTAGTCATAGATCAAGTTAGTTCTATTATGTAGTTGTTCTAGAAATAGATCAACATTATGTTCTTCTACGCACACGTAACCTTCATTTAACACGATTTTTACCAGATATTATTAATTCTTATGTGAATATTATAGTCATGATAGAAGAATATAAAAGTACGTGATCGTAGAAATTACAACTAATTTCGAGTTGACGACTGTGTCGCTCGTTCTGAGCAATTATGGAAGGCCACATGGGGACCCCGGGTGTAATGCGATTACATGAATTCTTTTCGTATCATATCGATGACATTTTGACCCAGAAATTATGCCAATTATCCCTCTTGTCAAACCACCTGATGATATCATTAACTAATGTCTGGATATTAGTAACTGGTGTAATTTTCCCAAGTCTATCAACCCCATGACCCGTTCACGGCTGGTTCTAATTAATTCCGTACCAGTTTGTTGTTGTTGTCGTTTTAGTTTTTAGGCGTCTATCATACATTTGTAAATATTTACGCCTTTTTACTACGACCCGTTTTAATTCAAGGCAGGTGAAGGTATTAATTTGTTTGATTCGGCATTATTATCCTGTTTGATTCGGTTAATGGTTCTCTTTCATTTTCGTATGTTCTATCTTACTCCTCTTCTTAAATATATAAATGCAGATGCTTTACGAGATGTCATTAATTTGTTTGTACAAGTGCGCCTTGAGCATTTTATTTCAAAAAGATTGGGCGCCTTACAAATGTCATATATTACTTGTATTATTATTATCAAAATCAAGATTATCAGTATTTTTATTTTCAATTATTATTATTACAATAATTACTGTAATTGATCATATCTAGAAGTTATCATAAAACAATGCTCTACAGTGTATATACAATATGGATTTGAACTACATAAGGACCACTGTGAAAATTCGTATTTGAAATATACACATTTTGAAAATCATATTTAAAAAAGTAATGTTAACAAATAATAACTTATTGAAAGTTCCTCGTACCAAATGAGTAGTCCGTGATCTATATTAGCAAGTTTAAATAGCCATGATGACTGGATAATACACAAGTACAATGCAAAGACCTTTTTTTTTAATAAAGGTTGTCGAATTTGTAACTGTTTTCATTTCTCTCGCCCATTCTCGTTTTTTACTGTTACTGTTATGATTGTTCGCCTCACTTCCATAAAAGAAGAAACAAGGTACTTTCATAATTCCTTTTAATTTTCTGCATCAACAGGTTGTTTGAATGAGGGTTAAAAGTTCAAACGGTCAAACAAATTGTTGGGCTATTATTTTTTTACTTATAACTCAGTCACACCACCAAACCAACTCCTCTCGGTTCCCACTCGGTCTTCTCTCGGTCTCCTCTCGCTCTCCACTCGGTCTCCTCTTGGTCTCCTCTCGCTCTCCACTCGGTCTCCTCTCGGTCTCCTCTCGGTCTTCTATCGGTCTCCACTCGTTCTCCTCTCGGTCTCCACTCGTTCTCCACTCGGTCTCCTCTCGGTCTCCTCTTCGTCTCCTCTCGTTCTCCACTCGGTTTCCTCTCGGTCTTCTCTTGATCTCCACTCGGTCTCCTCTCGGTCTCCTCTCGCTCTCCGCTTGCTCTCCGCTCGGTCTCCTCTCGGTCTACACTCGTTCTCCACTCGGTCTCCTCTCGGTCTCCTCTTCGTCTCCTCTCGGTCTCTTTTTTTCTCGCCCATTCTCGTTTTTCTATTCAATATGTTACTGTTTCGCTTCACTTCCATACAAGTAGAAACACGGTACTTTCATAATTCCATTTAATTTTCTGCATCAACAGGTTGTTTGAATGAGGGTTAAAAGTTCAAACGGTCAAACAAATTGTTGAACTATTATTTTTTTACTTACAACTCAGTCACACCACCAAACCAACTCCTCTCGGTTCCCACTCGGTCTCCTCTCGCTCTCCTCTCGCTCTCCACTCGGTTTCCACTCCGTTTCCCCTCGATCTCCTCTCGGTCTCCTCTCGCTCTCCAATCGGTCTCCTCTCGGTATCCTTTCATTCTCCTCTCGGTCTCCACTCGTTCTCCTCTCGGTCTCCTCTCGGTCTCCACTCGGTCTCCTCTCGGTCTCCTCTTCGTCCGTGATCTATATTAGCAAGTTTAAATAGCCATGATGACTGGATAATACACAAGTACAATGCAAAGATTTTTTTTTTTTATTCTCCTTCTCCTCTCGGTCTCCACTCGTTCTCCTCTCGGTCTCCTCTCGGTCTCCACTCGCTCTCCTCTCGGTCTCCTCTTCGTCTCCTCTCGGTCTCCTCTTCGTCTCCTCTTGGTCTCCACTTTGTCTCCTCTTGGTCTCCACTCGTTCTCCTCTCTCTCTCCTCTCGGTCTCCTCTCGTTCTCCTCTTCGTCTCCTCTCGATCTCCACTCGGTCTCCTCTCGGTCTCCTCTTCGTCTCCTCTCGGTCTCCTCTCGGTCTCCTCTTCGTCTCCTCTTGGTCTCCACTTGGTCTCCTCTTGGTCTCCACTCGTTCTCCTCTCTCTCTCCTCTCGGTCTCCTCTCGTTCTCCTCTCGCTCTCCACTCGGTTTCCACTCCGTTTCCACTCGATCTCCTCTCGGTCTCCTCTCGCTCTCTAATCGGTCTCCTCTCGGTATCCTTTCATTCTCCTCTCGGTCTCCACTCGTTCTCCTCTCGGTCTCCTCTCGGTCTCCACTCGTTCTCCTCTCGGTCTCCTCTCGGTCTCCACTCGGTCTCCTCTTCGTCTCCTCTTGGTCTCCACTTGGTCTCCTCTTGGTCTCCACTCGTTCTCCTCTCTCTCTCCTCTCGGTCTCCTCTCGTTCTCCTCTTCGTCTCCTCTCGGTCTCCACTCGGTCTCCTCTCTGTCTCCTCTCGGTCTCCTCTCGTTCTCCTCTCGTTCTCCACTCGGTCTCCTCTCGGTCTCCTCTCGGTCTCCTCTCGTTCTCCACTCGGTCAACTCTCGGTCTCCTCTCGGTCTCCTCTTCGTCTCCTCTCGGTCTCCACTCGGTCTCCTCTTCGTCTCCTCTCGGTCTCCACTTGGTCTCCTCTCGGTCTACTATCGGTCTCTTCTCGGTCTACTCTCGGTCTCTTCTTGGTCCCCTCTCGGTCTGTTCTAGCTCACATCGGTGTGACCGGGGAAATAGGTCCGATGATCGAGTGGTGTACTCAAAAATTGATAAATGTGAGAGAGGTCGAAATGAAGCCCTTGCAGACCCGGTGCTCCATCAGAAAGTTTTAAAGAGACTGAACAGGGTTAACCTGGTTTAATGCAAGGTAAATGGTTCACTTCTGATGTCCACTTTCATCATGTTCATTAAACTTAAAGCACCGCTATACTGTACATGCTATAAAGTATAAACTAGGAAAGCCCGTACCCGACGTAAAAAGTAGGCCTATACCATGTTTACGGCTAAGATCACACATTCCTGGCCCCTTTAAAGGATGAAGTTTTCAATAGAAATCAAAGTCATTTTCTTGAAAAGTCAAATCAATTAGATTAGTTTTCTTCTTCCTTCAGACCCCCCCCCCCTTTTTTTTTTCCTCTCCCTCTCCCTCTCTCTCCTCTCTCTCTCTTTCTCTCTCTCTCTCTCAGTCTCTCTCTAGTGATCATCGTGATAGAGGGACAAGTCTCGGACCAGGTGAAAGGTCTAAAAATGTCAGAAATTCAGTGTAAAACACATATTTGTGAAATCCAGCTGAGTCGGTCCAAATCTCCTGAACGATTTGCCGGATGTATTTTGAATTTCATTCTCAGTCCATTCTAGGGGTTGTATATTATCGTATTGTGCATAACCTTGTCCTAGTTACAACATGTAAATAACCGGAGATAAAGAAATCAAAAGAAATTGTGTTTTTATAAATGTTCTCCTCTCTCTAACCCTCTCACAGTCCTCTTTCTACATTTTGTTGTCCTCTTTGCTTCTACTCTGCCTATATCACCCCACCCCTTTCTATTTCACTCTCTCTCTCTCTCTCTCTCTCTCTCTCTCTCCCTCTCTCTCTCTCTCTCTCTCTCTCTCTCTCTCTCTCTCTCTCTCTCTCTCTCTCTCTCTCTTTCTTTCTTTCCCTCTATTACATTTGATATGTCTTAGTCCTCATTGTTTTAAGATAATGGATTATGAAGAAGAAAAAAACATCAATAAGACCAACACTAATTTTGTGTTCAACATCATTCTGTATCTATTATTTTGGGGTTATGAGACGTGCATTGCTTTAAAACCCTGCCCTTGCATCGTAATAAATACAAGAATACTGATGATTTCGTTTTTTACCTGTGCAAAAAAATTAGACATCTGTTCGACGAGAATTACGAGGAATCATGTTATTAAATTATAATTGGTATGTTGAATACCATGAGCATATTATTTTGTTTGATGACGACCGCTTACCGACTACATGGGGTTAAAGTTCAAGTACATGGATTACTTGAAAGTCACATGACTACCTGCGTCGAGTGATATATACTCGACGTGGTATCTATATTTTTGTTAACTTTTCTTTTAATTATTGTTTCTTTCCTTTATTTCGTTTGTTCAACACTTATGATCTAACTGCTGAAGCTAGAAATATATGATGTCTTAGTTAGAAACGAAAACAATCAGTTGATTAGCTTTTGGGGGGCGCGCCGGGGACATACGCCCCAAATCGATTGCTGGCAAGAAAGAATAAAATGAACCGGTAAGATTACAAAAGGACGGGGGAGAGGAAGAAAACATGAAGAAAAAGATAAATAAAAGACGCCCTCCTACACCCTGACATCACCCTACATTTTCAATTCACCTTAAAATGCCAGTGCCCCCCCCCCCTCCAATATATCTTGCGTCTAGAGATTGTTGAGATTGCGTGTATGAGTGTATGTTTGCGTGTGTGTGTTTCATATTTTAATTTTATATATCAATTGGGCCTATGATGGCGCTCTTCCATAAATATCATCAAAACCATCAAGACACGTCGTGATCAATGGCATTGGCTAGCATACGAGTTGAACCAGTTTATAGGTTACGAACCGCAGAGAGCATGACCATGACACATGTGAAAAGTCTTAATTTTTGTAATGTTTTTATGCAACTTATATTTTCATCGCATGAATAAAAACATATTATACTGACACTAGCTGCAAAATTAGAAATGCATAATGAATACCTATTGCCCCCGTAAATATTTATCATGGATAGACTCGTTGTTCCCCCCCCCCCCCCCCCCTCTGCTCGCTTGTTGATAAAGAGCATTACCTGTCATTAGAAGTGAGAATGAGTGTATATTAGGGACAGGCCCGTAGCCAGAGTTTGATGTTTGGGGGGGGGGGCACATACTTGATCGACGTCCTGGGGAGGGGTCTAAAAAAGTTCAACCTATCTTGGAAATTTGGGGGGGCACGTGCCCCCCCCCCTACCCTCCCGTGCCCCACCGTGGCTACGTGCCTGATTAGGGACTGCATTAAAATGGGAATAGTTGTATAAAATGGCAAATAATCAACGGGGCGTTGTGGCGTGTGCCTGTAATCCAGCTAATAATGGAAGTTACAAAATGATTCAGCCGAGAACACAGGTTCGAAACTGAGTCACGTCTTTCGGATGGAGACGTTAAAAGTCGTTCATTAGACTTAAATAATCATATCTGATTGAAACACGTCTGTAAAAACCCAATTACACACAAACACACACGCGTATGTGTTCACCGTGAGGGAAGGGGTATGGCTATGTCCTAATGATAATAAGAATAATAAAATAGTAATAATTGTATTGGCCCAGGGCTCATCAGCATCAATGCTGTTCTTCCTGAGGGCCCCGCACTTATCATTACCCCAGTAATTGCCAGGTATCCATTTACACCTGGGTGGAGCGCGGCAAATGATGATTAATGTCTTACCAATGGAGTTTATTGCTGCAGGCTGGGATTCGAACCCCGAACACTAGGTTTTAGAGTAAAGTGAATGAACCAATATACCACGTTCTTCCTCCCAAGTTTTTCAAATGTTCGACTACCCCCTGGATGGGACCACGGCACAAGTAGGTGTGCAAATGGACATTGTCCATGGTGTAATTTAGAATGGCCAAAGATTTAATTTCATATTAATTTCCCCGATTCGCCCGACACGTTGATTAGCAACGACAGTTATTTGCAATCACCTGTAACTCCTTCTCATTTCAGCACCCCCCCCCCCTCTCTCTCTCTCTCTCTCTCTCTCTCTCTTTTTCTCTCTCTCTCTCTCTCTCTCTCTCTCTCTCTTTCCCAATTATTCTTGGATCTCTACCTATTCTTCTCTTCTCTTTGCTGTACTTTGCTGCATCACCAGGTACTCCCTAATTTATACATTTAACATGTACTTAATAAACTGTCAGGGCTCAAAGGGCATCAAGCTTTCCTTATCATAGAGCCCTGGCTAGTTCTGTTTAAAATAAGTTTTTATTTATCTATGTATGTTTGAATGAATACTGATTTTATCATGTATTCAGAAGTGACAAAATGAAAATGTCCGGGATGATATTATTATCCTTTTATAGGTGATAGGGGTCTGTATATTAATTAACACACCGGGCGATGTGTTAAGTCCGTGGTATTTGTCCAGATAGTGAATGGAAATTTTCACAGAAAATAGGATAATTTGTTGTTTTTTAACATTTGACAAAACAACACAAATCAGAATTCATTTGAAAGATTTGGTCTATTTCTTTTTATTACATTAAAACGATCGTTAGGATTCACATAATTACATTTAGCTTTCTATCTTTAATTTTTTTACTTGTCTGAAGCAAATCATTTTGTACATTACCTCAACCTCATCCCAAGACTACATACTGCTTTCTGCCATGCTATACAAACAAATGAACATTCTATCTACATGTAAAGTCCAACAAAATTTAAATTTATAATTAGGTATACATCATGCACTTCCCTTAAAATGTAGTGATACGTGACATCATTAGCTGATAGAGGGCACTGCTTTCGAACGTGTTTCGGCTTCATACATTTCGTATTCACTCGGCCGCCGGTCCGCGAGCACACTTTATAGGGATCAACCGCCATACCGCCATTCGGATTAACACGCGGGATTGTGAAACAAAATATGACTATATACTGCCCTCTAGCGGAATGCGGCCGAAGCACTTTTTTGAATGGTGCTCCTATAGATGTTTTAGTCATAAATTTGTAACCTAATAAATAGGAAGGAAAGAAAAGTATATACATGAGCTAATTTGAAATTCATTGAGGTGGTCATCGACCGACCCTCAAAGGTCATATTCTTAGAATAAACATAATTATTTACATAAAGAGAATATCAGAATCAACAAATTACATGAGTTGAGCTTGCTCTCTCCAACTGACTAAAGCTCAGTAATTATATTCATATTATAAGGCACATTGTTAAAGCGAGAGTAATTTCGGCCCATTTAGATAGGAAGTTCTTGCTGGAAGAGGCTTACATTTGTAGAAATTGAGAAAGCGCCGAAAACAAATTGCATAGGAGAATGCACGATTGGGAACATTTTAACACACTATCATCACATTATTGTCATGGTAGGAATAACCTCCAGAAAATCTATGAAATTGCAAGTTCGGAGAGGGTATAATTATTAGCGTCATGTTTAGCACCGTCTAGCACCATTGATATATACACTTCATTATATGTATTACGAACATTTCAATAAAAAGGAAAAAATCGGTCGAGATATAGCGTAGTCAAGATGATACAATCTTTTCGTTTCGTTACAATGACAACTACAACAACGAAGATTTTACAAGTTTTTTTAACACGATTGCGACTTTCAAGAAATGATGTACAATGCTATTACGAATAATTTTAGTTCAATAGTCAGAATGTGATTTGGATACATTAATTGTTGCTAGGTGGGACCAAAATTATGGCTTGGCCTACCTAACAACACGTAATGTATGCCATTCGCATTCTGACTGTTGAAATTAAATTATTCGTAACAGGTGATTGAAATCACTTGTAACGAGGCTCTTAAGAAAGATTCATGCATTACAATTGATTACATTACGAAAACTGTCTATTGCCTTGTGGTGATGTTTCGAAAGCCCTTGCAACAACAGTCACCAGATGCAGCATGATGATAATTATTCAGATGAATTTAAAACAATATAAGCAACAACTGAATATATTATTCACCCCCGCATTTTACGATGTGCCCGCGTCCCGTTTGGTAACACTAGCCAAAGTTGGTATCATACTCCTCTTTTATCATGGGTACTTTTCTTTCCTATATTTCCCCCAAAATTCAAATAAATTCAGATATTGCATGGTACTTTTGTCAACATTTCTAAGATAACTTGTCGGGTCTCCCCCAACTTACAATATTGGAGGGCATTAATTGATATGCCATTGAATATATGAGCAGTTTTGAAACATAAATATTCAAACAATCCTTGAAGTCTGTCAAAATGAAAGTGCATCACCCTCCACGTATTGTGTTCGCTTAATGCTCGAGTTCTTGTAATCACATTTGTTTTGAATATGGGAAACAATTTCACCTCGCATCAACTGTAACCATGGTATCATATATGAAATCATCATGAAGTGCATGGTTTTAACAAAATACATATTAACAATCGATAAGAAGAAAGACAGCACAATAAAGACAAAAAGTCATTCTAAATAAAAAGAGAATACTATCTACAACAAACTTTTATATGCCTTTTACAATAAAATAATTCCCATAACTTTCTGAGAGCATAATCTTTGTACCAACTCCCCTGTTTCATGGTATTTCTGTGTTAATTTTTTGTTTTGGTGAAACTAATAATTCATGTTTATTTGATCATTAAAAATGCTTCCATATAGAGTGATGAATTCAAAGCATTCTGCTTCATTTTATCTTATCTAATTACTGCTTTATGTCTGAATAATGATAGTTTATTCATCGGAAGAATTATAATGGGCCGTCTCCCGACAGTTCAGGCTCGCTGGTGTACAGCTCTGCCGGGCTGCTGCTGGTGCTGGTGCTACTGCTGTCGAGCGATGAAATGGACGATATGGTCACATCGGTCTCACAAAAAGGTTGGAATCCGCTCCATTCGCCGCACGGGGTACAGACCCGACGCGAGCTTCCGTGCAGCATGTACTCGGGGTTGCAGAAGTAGGTGACTTCGGCGCCGAAGGAGAAGTCGTCGCCCTGACGGACTCCTTCCGTGACTTGACCGGGGTCCTTACAGGCGTAGTTGACCGTTTCTGAGCGGGGAAATTAAAGAGTAGGGGGAAAAAAAAATCGTAAATGGGATCAAATAATAGTCATAATAGCTATAAGTATTGCTATTGGTTCTAGGACACCTACCCCCCTGGACAACCACCCCTAGGATAACCACCCTCTAGTACAACTACCCCCTAGGAAAACTACCCTCTAGGACAACCACCCCCTAGGACAACTACCCCCTAGGGCAACCACCCTCTAGGACAACCACTCCCTAGGGCGACCACCTTCTAGGACAACTACCCCCTAGGACAACTAACCCCTAGGGCAACCGACCTCTAGGACGACTACTACCGGTCAACTACCCCCTGGACAACTAACCTAGGATAACCACCCCTAGGATAACCATCCTCTAGGACAACCACCCCTAAGACAACTACCCCCTAGGACAAGCACCCTCTAGGACGACTACCCCCCCCCCCCCCTGGACAACTACCCCCAGACAATACCCCTACGACAACTACCCCCTAAGACAACTATCCCCCACACAACTTCCCCCGGACAACTACCCCCTACGACAACTACCCCCTGACAACTAACCCCCTGACAACTACCCCCCCAGTCAACTAATCCCGACGACAACCATCCTCTGGGACTACTCCCCGGACAACTATCCCGGGTACAGCTCAAGACCCCTGAGGCCCCTCTCCCACTTTATACATTTCATTGGACCTACATGTCGGTCAAACCGGAGGAGGTGTTTGGGACCCCTAACCAACCCCCTCCCACACCATGCAGGACCCGTAATAGTTACCTGAAACCTTGTAAACTATTTCGACGGTCTCGGGAACGATGATATATTCCTCGGACTCTTCGCTGCCGCAGTTGTGGATGAGTCTGATGGCAGCATTTGTCTTCACGAATGTTACAATAGTACCGGTCTTGGTGGTGATCAAGTTGGCTTCATAGAGGTAGTCTACGCCCCACAATCTGAAGGAAAATGATTGAATACAATATACTTAATTTTAAAATTTTAAACATAGCACGGGTGTGAGGTGAATAATGTTTGATGTGGAGGTCTGGATTTAAGATTATTTTGAGACTCAACATGGCTTCTACTACTAAATAAAAATTCTTTGCCATTTGTTGAGAAAATGAACTTGGGAGTACGGGTCAGGATTAGGTTTGTAAGAACGGGTATATGTTTCTTTGAAAGTTATACTTTTGATCTCAGTACAAAATTTGAACCACTGAAATTGTCAGCTGTTCATCTACAACCTTCGGCTAATTTTCAAACATATGGATAATCTGAACAGATGAAATTTCATAATCACTGAATGGGCATTATAAAATTGTTATATTCATTTTTTCATTATTATTTTTAATCATTATTGTTGTCCTTTCAATAGTCATGTAAGCGCCGATAGCACCAGGCTTGGTTGTGGCAAAATATAAACTTCATACAAATGGTCAACACAGCATAACCACGATATCCCGGTAGTTAGTGACTCAGTTTTAAATTGTTAACATACATGATTGTGATATAAATACGGAATATTTTTTTGTATCCACATCATCTTCCTATACATATAAATATAGTACCAGACTCGACTGTTACCCTGCTTGCTTCTGAGGAAGTTAACACCTCATTAAACTAAATTTGCGAAACTAAATTCAAAACATATCCTAATTCCAAACAATGATCGTTAGAACTCCTTAATCCGGTTGAAATGATGCGGTTGCAAATTTATAATTTATTACTTGTTTGCTTTTTGTTTGTTGCCTTTAAGTGATTATAGGGGAGTGTGAGTGTAAACATCAAAAGATGGCCTTTTTGTTGTCGATCCTGCAAAAATGTTGGACGGTTTTGACTCCCTTTTACAAAATAAAACCAGAGCTGCCCTTGCTTAATTGTACCCATTCGTTTTTTCTAGGAGTGTACAGATTTTGTTGACGGTTTGTGAAATTCTCCTTACTGAATGCCGGTGTTGGGTGCGACGACGGAGCAGTCCTCGGTGAAGCAGGTTTTGATGGTGACGAGCTGCATGCCAGGCCAGATGTCACCCACGGCCCACCAGGTGAAATGTTCCGTCTGGTAGACCCACACAAGGCCCCCCTGGCCGTCCTCTTCAACGGTGCCGATGCCATCCTGTACCCATAGACCTGGAGAGGAAGAGAATACAAGTTTTAAAAACTTTAAAAGATTCATTGGATAGATTACAGAGTCCTCTGTCACATATAAAATCCTAAACAGCATGGTTTTCCATGTTGTACCTTTAAAACTAAAGAGGATAACAGATTCCATTTCAAAATAAAACTGCAATTAAAAGTAAATGAAATACAAAATCTTCTTTCAACATTATTATTTGTACCATCATCATCATCGTCACCATCACATAAAGCAACCTAAACTATGTGTGATTCCCACCACGTACCTATAGAACTAGAGATGGAAATTAATTAATTTCATAATTCAAAGTCATCACGCTGCCATTCCAACTTATAACAGTTCTTGTTAATCTTGTATTGCAACTACGACTACGGTCTTTAAAGCACATTTCATAAACGTGCCTCTCATTTTAATTATCTACCAAACAATTTCCGCCAGTTAATTTAAAACAGAGTTGAATGGCATCGGAACAAACAAAAGAGTTTAAAATAGCGAAGCAAGCAAGCCGCAATCAGATGTTTCATATCAGTGTACACTTTGAATGATTCCTCGGCAGAACAATTGTGTTTTTCCGCCAATTCATCCGGTAATTACCGCAATCCCGGGCTCTTCCTCTTTCTATTCCTTCCTTCTTTCATGGAGATGTTATTGGAGCTACATGAATGATGTGATTCATATGGCTGATAAAAACACAATATCCACTGAAAATAATTAT